AGCATCCCAGATGGTCCCCTGAGCACCACCAGGAGTCATTCCTCAGTACAGAGCCAGGAATAACCCCTGTGCATCACCAGGTGTGACCCAAAAAGAAAAAAGCAAATAAAAAAAAAATACATGTTGTGGTGGACACCGCCCTCCCTCCCCCCCCACAAGCAGCCTCGTGAGTTCGGCCACTAGCACTCAGATCTTCATGTGACCCCTCCTCTGAAAGGTGGGCAAGGCCAGCAGACAACAGTAAAGGTGATGGGGTGTATGTGAAGTGGATATACGATTGCGTTATCCTAGACTGAAACCCCTGTCTTGGGAGGAGGCGTCCAGTCTGGTGAGAAGGACTCCCCCTGACAGGTTTGGAAGGCACAAGTCATCATGAACAAGCCAGCAGGAACTGCTGAACTCAGTCCCAACCCAGGGTAAGGAACTGAAAGCTGAGAACGATGACGGGAGCTCAGAAACCGGTCCTTCCCCGCTGAGCCTCAGAGGAGACCTGGCAGCCTGGGCACGCGCCCCCCCTGGAGCCCATGTGAGTCAAACCATGCTCCCCGTTGTGCTGCATCCAACTGCTGACCCACGGGGGCCATGAGGCAGTGCAGGTGTGTGGCTTACTGCCCTGGCCTCTACGACAACGCTGCCAAGCAGCACCGGATAATCAACCACCAAAACACACCATGAAAGGAAAAGCAGCCCCTGGCATCTGGGTCCTGTGTCTCTTAATAAGGTCTTGAGACGCTGCCAGGAGTTCACCTGCTCTCGATCTTGGGGTTAGCCAATTCCAAAGATCATCAAGGCTGTAGCACTGTCCTCCCGTGGTTCATCGATTTGCTCGAGCGGGCACCAGGAACGTCTCCATGGTGAGGCTTGTTGTTACTGTTTTTGGCATATCAATACACCACGGGGAGCTTGCCAGGCTCTGCCGTGCAGGCAGGATACTCTTGGTAGCTTGCTGGGCTCTCCAAGAGGGACAGAGGAATCAAACCCGGGTCAGCCGCGTGCAAGGCAAACGCCCTCCCCGCTGTGCTATCACTGCAGCCCATCATCAAGGCCAGAGATGCAAGATGTATGAGCACACTATGATTATGAGAAAATATGGAGAAAGAGCCTGAGTAGTGTTCATTGTGCCAATGACTCAACATCCTAAGATGGCAACTTGCACAGCTGATTTAAATGTCAATTTCCCTGTTGTAAAGAGATTTATTCAGCAATCCATTCATTGCATATTACCTCCCTAAAGCATTCAGCAAAAAGCAAAGTCCCACTTTTTTCTTTTTCTTTTTTTTTTAAAGCCCCACTTTCTTGACCCTTCCCCTAAATTACCAAAGACAAAAGCAAATCTTTTAAGTCTTTTTAAAACGCCTCCTTATAGAGATGCCCTCTGGCTTCCCTCACTACAAGTAGCAATAAACTCAGCTTACTCAACTACAGGTCTACTCCTAGGGTCTCTGGCTTGAGTGCTTCGTAAAACAATAGGAAGCAAAGCCATTGACAATAACACGGTAAAATGACACAACTCGGTCACAGAGCTTACATAAAAATGCAAGCTTGATTTAGACAGGAAACACAAAAATACAATTTCTTCAAAGGAGTAATGAAATCATCTGATAAATGGTCTGAAGAGAACTGAATAGGAAGAGGAAAAAACAGGCTGGAACCACACTTCAGACATAAAAATTGGCTCTCCAGAGGGTAAAGATTTAAAACTTTCTGTGATTCGAGAATAAAACCCAAATTAAGCTAGCACACATCAAAAAAAAAAAAAAAGATTTAAAACTAATTACTAAAAAGGTAAGTAAAAAAGCTAGTTACTTCAATGATCTGCCCTGTCATTTGAAAACAATAATAAAGAAAAAGACGGACCATTTTAGTCATAAAATCTTCGGATATAAGAGACACCTTGTCAGAACTTTTTTTTTAAGACATCATATTGTATCATTCCTATTTTGGACAAACTTGCAGGCTATCGAATGTAGCCTGCCCACAGGGCAGAGTCTGGCAAACTCCCCGTGGCGTACCAAATATGCCAAATACCAGTAACAATGATGGGTCTCATTCTCCTAAAGAGCCTTAAATATAATCTCAGGGCTAGGACGAAAGAGACGTTACTGGGGCCTGCTCGAGGCAATCGACGAATAACAGGATGATGAAATGAAATGAAAATAAGAGACATCACACAAAAAGGGAGAAAAGACTGAGCAATACTTGCATTACAGTGACAAAATACTTGAAGCTAAAACAGAGTATTCCTGTTTGCAAGAGAAATGCATATTCAAAAAGTAAATAAGTCATGACAAATGAGTCACATAGAGGGAAACAAAAGTATTAAACAAAATTATGGAAGCGCGTTCAATCTTCTCAGTGGACTGAAGAGGTGCCACTTTAATAGGTGACACCAGGGCAAATAAAGATGAAAAACATTGATCAAGATGACACAGCTGGGAAATACCGGAAACAGTTATAAACCAAGGTATGACTCTACAATGCTGTAGTGTCCTCTGTTAGAGATATATGATGACAGCAAGTAGCACAGTGATGGATATATGGAGATGAGCACTGAAGACAATATACAAATATAAAGTAATTGCAATATAGGAATGGGATTAAAGGCGTTTTAACGTTGAAAAATCATCATCTTGGGGAACCAGAAAAAATAGTACTGTGGGTAAGGTGCCTGCCTTGCATGTGGCCAACCCGGGTTTGACCTGTGGAACCACATATGGTTCCCTGCACTCCAACAGAAGTTATCCCTGTGCATAGAGACAGGAATAAACCTCAACTACAGCTGAATGTGACCCCCCCTAAAAAAAAACACAAACAAATAAAAACACCCTCATCTTGGGGCCCTGAGGAGGAGTACCTCAGTGGCTCCGAGCATATAGCTGCCCAGCAAGCATATGGCCACAAGTCCAGTTCCAGTGCCATCCCGTAATGAGCGGGATCCTGGCAGCGCTGTGCACTGTGGTGCCCATCACTACAAGTTTCCGGCTTCACTGCAGCCAGATGTGGGTAAGGGTGCAATAAAGGGGTGCAACCTCTATGGTACATATCTTTAATTAAAGATATGCAAGCACTCACCAACCCCAGACAAGAGCTCATGTGTGAGCCCCTCAGGGACCCCCAAAAGGGACTACAACTGGACCGTGTGTGTGAGCACCGTGACCAAAAGAGCACTGACAATGCTCAGTGAGAAATCTAGCCAAGTATAAGAGCATTCCAACCTGCTATGTGATTCCCCAGTTGCATCATGACAATAAAGGGGGGGGGGGGGTGAAATAAATAAAACAAAAAATTCAAAAGATGACCAGTCAACGCGAATGACAAACTCTCAACCTCCAATTCCTGAGAATAGACAGCTGCTCGGAAGGAAAGCATCTAAAACTACTTCTAACGCTACCCTTTTCTGGCAGAATGTCATTGAGTGGGTAGCGATCTAGGTAGAGTCAAGAAGGCCTGAGATGCCTGGAATACCCATGAGCATGTCAATACTAGGTATCACTGTAGCACTGTCCTCCCGTTGTTCATCGATCTGCTCGAATGGGCCCAGTAACTTCTCCATCGTGAGACTTGTTACTGTGTCTGGCATATCGAATACGTCGCGGGGAGCTTGCCAGGCTCTGCCGTGCGGGCGAGATACTCTCGGTAGCTTGCCGGGCTCTCGCAGAGGGGTGAGGAATCGAACTCGGGTCGGCCATTTGGCTGCGTGCAAGGCAAACGCCCTACCGCTGTGCTATCGCTCCCTAGGTGAGAAAGGGAAAGTTCAAGGGACTAAAGGCTCCGAAAGAGAGTCAGAAATGTAATGCTAACTGGAGAACAGAGGTAGCAAGCTCTGGGCTCCCAGGCAAAGGAGAAGGCTGGGAAGTTAAAAGCGTTATGAGTGACCACAGGAAGTGCTCCGAGCCCGCCCTCTCTTACCAGCACCGCAGCCACTCCGAGCTGTCGACACCGGGTGCGAGGTAAAACCCAGCTATGTCTCCACGAGATTCTAAGTCCCAAGGACAGATCACATCCCTTCCTCAACAGCCACGCACCTTTAAGCCTTTCAGCATTGGGGCTGGAGAGATGGTACAGCAGGTGGGGCGCTTGCCTTCCAAACATTCCATCTGGGTCCCCCCCAGCATCACACATGTTCCTACAAGCCCCTCCAGGAGTGATCATGAGTGCAGAGCAGGAGTAAGCCCTGAGCACTGCTGGGTGTGACCACACCTCCCACCTCCAACGCCTGGGGGGGGAAAGAAATGTTTCTGAAGAGCACTGAAAGGAAGGCTGGAGAAGAGTTAACACGCTCAGAAGTTTCTTGAGACAGGGAAGGCAAAGCTGGCCGTTTCAACAGACCTCAACATTTTAGGGGGGCAAACTAGTTTGGCGGGGGAAGGAGGGATGTGAAAAAAAGGCTCTGTAAATCTAGCTTTACTGATTCTCTCTCTCAGCCAGACGAGAATCAGTTATGTGCAAAATGATTAATCGCCGTCTCCCTGAAATATTCAAGGTCCTGCTACCTATTCTTAGGGTGGAAAAAAGAGAAAAAAAGAAAGCACACTGAAATATGACTTTTGGGTTTTTGCTCATTCTATGCCCTTTTAATAAAGCAGAACGAAAAATTTTGCCTTGGGCTTGGCTGAGTTATGGGGTTTATCTCCTAGGTGGCAAAGCTTCATTCCTCACCCCAATCAGTGTACTGGGCACAAGTCATAAGAAGTCTGAGAGAAAAGGAAAAATGTCTGTGCTGTACCTCAGGCATCAATTTATCCAACGCAGTAATTGCTCCGAGAGACAGGTCTTCTCTTCATATTTATAGAAAAATAGGCACCACAGAACAAAATTAATGTAGCTAATGGGCAAATGCTGAGGGCAGAGCACGGCAAAGCCTGGCAGGTGTGTCTGGCCCATGCAGTCGATGCAGGACCATCGGATTCCATCACTGTGAGGGGCAGCTGGCGGGTGGCATGGTGAAAAATCTCTGAGGCATTGCCTGCAGCGCAGACTCTAGCCGAGTCCCCACGTACCTTCTCTGCGTACTCAGACACGATCTGCTTGATCTCGGCGGAGCAGAGTCCCACGATTTGGCCCACGGAGCTGGCGGTGAGTCGGCTCTGCAATCACAGAGAGGGGTGGGTGCTCGGCCCTGCACCCTGGGCAGGGCAGCCCAAGAGACCACTGTCTCCAGTGGGGGCCTAACTGCACTCTGGCTCAGGTACTCACCCAAGAGACAGGAAAAAAAAAAAAAAACAAGTCTTGGGGTGAAAGTTAAGCTACCGCTGAATCTCCTGAACCTCTACTGATTGTATGGGTTCTGCTCCGACTGTGGATACTGCTGGAAAATATTTCTCCTTTTTTTTTTTTTTTTTGGTTTTTGGGTCAGACCTGGTGATGCTCAGGGGACCAGAAGGGATGCCGGGTATCGAATCTGCATTAGCTGCATGCGAAGCAAGCTCCCTACTCACTGTACTATTGCTTCAGCCCAAAATATCCTTTTTCAACTTTGATATACACCCCAATGCTTCTCTCCCTGACAGTCACTAAACTCTATTTTTGGGAAATGTGGTGGGCACAGAATTCAAAGAGAAATGGGCAAACAGGAGAAAAAGAACTCCCAAATGCTGAAATCTCTCTTCAGTCTCCCTGTTCTAAAAAGAAACTAACCTTTCAAAGCACTAGTTTCAGCCTTTTGGACCAGCCTTGAGCTGGTCCGAAAGCAAATGAAATGTGAGGCGTTTTAATTTCTATCTAGCAAGTTCCCAGGAAGACAGAAGACCAGGGCTCTGTGGTATAAGTGTAGCTGGGGGTCTGGGGAAGATGTTCCACACAGGCCCGTGATACACACCCAGCGGGAACATCTGCTCCCCCGGGGCCCTGCCAGTTTCTCTCTGAGAGGAACACTGGGACAACGGCAACACTGGGCAACCAGAAAAAGCTTCCCACAAGAAAGGGCCCAAGGAAGCGGAGCACTGAGTGCTCCCTCTGGGAGGCGCCTCTGCAGAACAGAGCAGGGTGGTTCTGGGTGGCTCTCTTCACCTCACCCCCTCCCTTCCATCACTTCCACCTTACCTCTTCACTCGCCATGGCGGTCATCTTGGTCATTAGTGACTGAATCTGCTGCTGAAAAAGGAACAAGGAGGAGAACAGGTGAGCAGAGCTGGCCAGTATGTATGAATCAGTTTTTTTTTTTTCCTTTTTGGGTCACACCCGGCCATGCACAGGCGTTACTCCTGGCTCTGCACTCAAGAATTACCCCTGGCAGTGCTCAGGGGATCATATGGGATGCTGGGAATCGAACCCGGGTTGGCTGTGTGCAAGGCAAATGCCCTCCCTGCTGTGCTATCGCTCCAGCCCCCTGAATCAGTCTTAAGGATTGTCTTAGTGGATCTCCTTTGATAGAGGGCCTAACGGGAGGGGACAAAAGGAAACCGAGGAAGAGGATGACAGGCCAGTTAACAGCAGCCGGTAGTGGGAGGCCAATGGGCTATGCTGGGAAGTTGGGATGGAGGTGAAACTGCCCCCCCGAATGACTGAAAGAGAAATGCAAGGGGACGGCCGTGGCCACACACCTCTTCTGCAGCCCGAAGCTCATCTTCATCCTGGGCATCGGCTTTCTCTGGAACCGTGGGAAGGGCCGCTGCTTTCCTGTCTTCGGCCTGGAAGAAAAGAAGATGACCCACGCACTAGAGCACAGGTGTGGGAGAGAGACAGAGCAAGGACACCCATGCCGAGAGGCCAAGTCTCTGACTCAAGTCCCTGAGAGACCGAGTGGATCTCCTGGCCCACGCCCGTCTCTCCTTCTGACAGAATCTATCGATCGGTTCCCACGTACTAGCGAGACTCACCTCACACACTCTGATAAGGCCTTCTCCCTATTTAAGCCTCTTCAAATACAGGCAACTGGCTGAAGGTGAGTCCTTTCAAACTACCAGCAGAGACTAGCTTATATGTGAGTTAAATAAACATTACAGGGGGCTGGAGTGATCGGACAGCAGGTAGGGCATTTGCCCTGCACACAGCTGACCTGGGTTCGATCCCCGGCATCCATGCGATCTCCTAAGCACCGCCAGGAGTGATTCCTGAGTGCAGAGCCAGGAGTAACCCCTGAGCATCGCTGGGTGTGACCCCAAAAGCCAAAAATATAAAAATAAACAAACAAACATCACAAATAAGGACGAATTAGTTTTCTTCACACATCTAGAAAAGGTTATGCAGTCGGTGATGTGTGTGTGTGTGTGTGTGTGTGTGTATGTGTGTGTGTGTGTACTGCATCTTAAATGAAAACAGAATTCTTGCTGCCCAAAGTTTGAAAGCCACTGGTTTGAAAATTGAAAATATAAATGGTTTCATCTGGCAACTAAGCTCCTTATTCTAGAGCCTGTCTCGGGCTTCAGATGCGACCGCTGCCCCTAGTCTGTCACAGCTCCTGTTTCCACCCCCTCCCTACAGTCAAATAGCCGTGACATCAGAGTATGCTACGACATCTTTCTCAGACTACCCCAACTGTAGGATGCGTCTGTAGAATCTTTTATTATTGACTCGTGAACAACCAAAGTGTCTTACTGCAGGTAATTTGTATAGGGGACAACAGGGCCATCTCAAATGTGCCATCTGAGCTCAGAAAGAGGACAACTCCAAAGTGAAAACCATTTCAGGATTTTTTACAATTACAATTGCGTGGATGTATTTCAAAAAAGAAACACATGTGTATATGTGTGTGTGTGTGTGTGTGTGTGTGTGTATAGGTATATATACATGAGTATATAGATGTGTGTGTGTGGCGTTTTCAGACTGAAATTTGTGTGTATGTGTGTGTTTGAGCCACACACAGCAATTGCTCAAGGATCATACTTGGCTTTGAGCTCAGGGGACCAGATATGGGGCTGGGGGTTGAGCTCGGGCCAGCTGTGTGCATAGCAAGTGTTTTCAATGCCCTGTGCTACCTCACCAACTTCAGGCTTAACTTTTACATCAGGTTAAAACTATTTGATATAGCACATTCTTACTACGTGAATTCAAATGATCAAATGTCACATGACTCACTCCAATTCAGAAAGCACTTTGCTTTAGCGGAAATGACCATTAGGTTTCAAAGGACTAAAACATAAACATAGGGGAAAACAATGAGAAAGCAAAAAAAAAGAGGAAGTTATCCTAGTCAGCACACGGCTGCCTGCCTGCCATGAGCCGATAATACTATTAATAAAGATGCTTAGTAGATGTCTGCTACACGATGAATCATTCTCCATCCTTTACATTTTGTTCTTCACAACAAGAGCCACATGAACAATCATCTTATCCACTGAGAGCATCTCCCTAGCAGGAGAGGGATGCTGATCACCCTCCCCCCTGACTCCTGGGACTTGGGATAACAGGAGGAGACTCATGGGTGGTATCTGCAGTGGAAGGTTAAGGAGGTGACAATAAGGTTTTCAAGCCAAAGGCCGACAGAGAGCAGGCGAGCTTCCCTCCTGCACCAGTAATGCATTACTCCAACGGCAGCGGCTAAGAACGCGGCCTTTGATGCCACGTGCACCCCGGAGCAGATTCTTATTGCACCTTGGGAGCTATGTGATGTAGACAAATCACCGGGTCTCTTGGAGTTTCACATTTCTATTTTTTTTCTTTTTTTCCAGTTTGAGTCACACCGGGCAGTGCTCAGGGGTTACTCCTGACTCTGCACTCAGGAATTACTTCTGGTGCTACTTGGGGGACCATACAGGATGCTGGGCAAGGCAAACGCCCTCCCTGCTGTACTATATCACTCCAGGCTGAGCTTCAGCTTTCTGATTTGAAAAGCAGTCATAGGGCTCTTACAGAACTGTTCAGAGAAGTGAAAAAAAAGAAAGGAAAATCAGCATGCAGAGGCAGAGGCCTAAACAAAGGACCAGGAACACAGCAAAGGTCTGGCACAACAGGACTTGTATGTCTGCCCTGTTGTCTTAAATCAAGGGTCAATGATAAACAGGAATTGGTAAGTTTCCAATGAACAGGTCAGCAATAACGAATCCATGAAAGGAACCACGGAGACTCCTGTGTGATGCTTGAAGCACCCCACTCTGACCTGGCTGATGTGCTACCCTCGCACCTGCTAGGGTCTCTCACCAGACGGAGCATGTTCCAGGCCCTGGGGATAAACCTTCCATTCCTACCTGCACAGTGGTATGAAACTGTGCACCAAGCCTTGCAGTCACCCTTTGCTTCTGACCATGTGCTGAGGCTGCGTGGTGGTGGACATGTGCCGCTGTCCTGGGCTACCTGACACCAGAGCCTGGAGGATCCCTGACCACTGCACTGGGTATTGCCCCTTCTTCCCCAGCTGCTCCGTGTTGGGCAGAGGAGAAGGAAATGGGCCTTCCCATCTCTCTAACACTCTCCTCCATTACCAACGTTTTTGTGTATGTATGTATGTATGTATGTATGTATGTATTGAGTCACCGTGAGAAAACACAGTTACAAAGCTGTTCATGACTAGGTTTCAGTCGTACAATGACCCAACACTCATCCCTCCACCAGTGTTCATTTCCCACCACCAATGACCACAACTCCTCTCCTGCCACACACCCCCTCCCCCAGCCTGCCCCCACGGCTCTATGGCAGGCACTTTTCTTCTCTCTCTCTCTCTCTCTCTCTCTCTCTCTCTCTCTCTCTCTCTCTCTCTCTCTCCCCCCTCCCTCTTTACTTATGAGCATCATGGTCTGCAACACAGATACAGAGAAGTTATCATGTTTGTTCCTTTCTTACCTTCTCAGCTTTGCTCGGGCGACTAAATCCATACCTCCTGCAGGCCAGAAATAAAAAAGGAGTTTCATTACTATTACAAAACCACATGCATTTGGTCCAGCATCTTTTGGTTGGATTTTTGACATGAAGCGTACCAAGGACAATGCTGCCTGTCTGGTGACTTGAGAAAATGTTTTAAGCGTCTGGGCCATAACCATAGTCCACTGCCTGTGAATTCAAAGCCAGTCTACTTGCCATATAAACACCGTTAATGGAAACGCAGATAACGCAGAGTGCAACATCTCCTTTAAAAGCCATCATTAGTCTTTGAATCGGAAACTGCACTTCACACCTACAGTTTAAGCTAAAAGGCTTAAAAAATGTCGATATAAACACAGGCGGATGTGTTTACTCAAGCTAAGCACGCTCCCTAGGGAGTAGATTCAGCATCAAGTCTAGTCCATTTGAAAATTTCCAAACATAATTCAAGTGTGATGCCAATAATGATGTGTGCTCACTTCAAGCGGTCTTAAATTCGAAGAAATCCACAAATGTGCTTTAGTTTAAATAGTTCTTTCGGGTTCTAATTAATATCAACACTTTTTTTTTTCCAAAAAAAAAAAAAAAAGAAGAAGCAAGGAGAGCAACACAAAAACCATTCAATCTTGAGCTAAAGCATAAAGCTGAACACCCAGACTCACTTACCTTTTAAATCAAGTTTAAATGCAACCAGGAAATAAGAAAATCAGGAACAAGAAAAAGAAATGAAAGATGGCATGACCTTCGCTTACTGGGCCATGAAGCTGCCTCCTATGCGGAAGCTGCCTCCTACCTGGCCCCACACCCCCATCCCCCAATGCTTCTCCCCATTCCTGAACTGCCTTTCCACTGGTCTGTCTGACCTGTACTGAGGAAACTTGCCCCATGAGGAAACAAGGCTTCCTCTACACTCACCTTCCAACCTGCTTGGCACACACCAGGCATTTCTTCTTCCTTTTCGACTCACTGCTCAGCACTAAAGCTGCCTCCTTTCCAAAGCAGCTGCCCCCACCCCAACTCCCACAGTGGGCCTATTCATCCCTGCATTTGAACACGTCCTGTCTCCGCCCTCCCCTCTTCCCATCCCCCCATCTCCCCAGGAGACAAGCAAGTCCAATGGCCTATTTGGATGTCTGCACACCAAGCGCCCTGAGCCAACTTTCTCACATCTTCTATTTCCAAAGGATATGAAATAAGTAAACTGAAAGATGAGAGAAAATGCAGAGTTCCAGCAGCCAAACGTACCGACTGGCCTTGCTGTACACTGTCATCTCAACGGAGAAATCAGGAGAAAAAAACAAAACAAAACAAAACAAAACAATACAAAACAACAAATGACAAAAACAACAACCAGCTGCCACACAGGCTTATCTGCAGGACCAGAGTCCAGCAGAGGGAGCTTAAAACAGGAGAATCCACAGACATCCAGTGATGGATCTTAAGGCAGATCCTGAGAACTGGATTAGACAGTATCAATTTGATTTTCCTAGAGTGGAAAGACTGGAAACAAACCACACCAAACCACCGGCACCAACAGCAAAACCCCACAGCAACCCCTTCTTCTCTGCACCAAGGGTGCTGAATGCCAGTTAGGTCTCCCCCATCACACAGGCGCGTGCTGGGTTTTCGCTGGCACAGCAGCTTAGATAAGGAGATGGAGGACAGAAAGGATCTATGTGCCAGTGGGAGAATCACTGTAGATGTGGCCTGTTTCTGGAGCCAGCAGCTGTGACCGAGGGGTCCTGATTTCAGCAGGAGTGGCCTGGCCTCTGCCTCCCCATTCCACAGACCTCCGGCCCTTCTGCTGACCGTGGAGGGAGCCCGCGCCACGAGGTCTGGGGGAGCATCCCTGGGAAGGGATCCCTGAGGTCAGTCATCCTCAGGTTGGTCCCTGTCGGGGGAGAAACTACCATCGATGGCATGGACCAAACAGCCACCTCCCAATTCAGAAATCTCTTTTATTTGGGGAAGGAGAGGATGGGAGCACACCCAGTGATGTTCAGGGCTCACGCCTGGCTCTGTGTTCAGGAGTCGTGCCAGGGATTGAACCTGGGTTGTCTGTGTGCTAGGCAAGTGCCTTCCCTGCTGTACTACCATTCTCGTCCCCAAAGTTAGAACTTCTAAACCAAGAAAAAAACTGAACTGTTACCAGGCCCTGGTCTTGGAGAGGGAGCTGCTGTGTTAAACATCTAACCCTTCCTCACCTCCAGGGATGTGAGTTTGCACAACAAGGAAAAAGGAAGGTACGGACATCATAAACCAGAAAACCCCACAACATTCTCCTTAAGGGAGCTGGCCCTGAAATGTGGCTATATTTGGGCCATTTATGTGACCCGCATATAAGGGTCTCCGTAGCCCCACTTCACTGAGAACAATACAGGCTCCCCACCGTCCCACTTCTAGCGGGGGCTCCGTTGGAAAGAACCCATTGCTGTGTCCAGAGAATGCAACCTAGCGCTCCATACTCAGAAGATGCCCATCTGAGGTTGTTGTTGCTGTCTTGAAACTCTTAATCAATCAATCAATCAATCATTACTTACTGGTTCTTACCCAGGAGCCCCAGAGCTTTCATTTGGTACTGCTCCCAATAAGTTGTCTAGCCAGTTAGGTGATTCCTGATTCAGTAGAAGAATCCAATTCACAGTGGCAACCAGGTGTTGCCATGCCACTAGCTGATGGTGAGAACTAACAACCTCCTTTGAATAAGGTAGGCTACATGTTTTCAGGAAGGGCCTGACCCCACACTACAACTCAAGACCAAAAACACAAAACCATGCGACTGTTGTGTTTCCATTTTGAAGATCGAACAGGGGCTGGAGTGATAGTACAGTAGGTGGGACACCTGCCTTGTGTGCGGATGAGCCGGGTTCAATTCCCTGAATCCCATATGGTCCCCTGCATACTGCTAGGAGTGATTCCTGGGCTCAGGGCCAAGACGGCTGGGTGTGCCCACCCATCCCCACCCCATCGCCAAACAAAAACAAATCGTTTAAAAAAATAAATGATGGAATGATGAGCTGAGTAACTTAATTTCCTCCTGGTTCTCTCTAAACACCCAGCGGCGAGATGCTGTGGGATGCTGCTGCAGGGAGCGGTGAGCAGCGAGGCTGTTAGTTCCAGCTGCCCACCACAGCTGGGGTGAGGAGGCAGAGCAGCACACAGCACACAGCCCCCGCCCGAAGGGAAGCCCCAGGAGACATACTCACATCAAGGAACCAGTGACCCTACGTAGGAAATGCAGGACATCAATGACCCATTCATACCCAGGTGCAACCAAAACATTCGAAAGTATGTTCTCCCGTGGTCTTAAGTAGAAACGGAGGAGGAGGAAGATAGCTTTTCAGACATTCTTAGGAAGTAACAGAACTGTTAAATTCTTCCTGTCCCTGCCCAGGCCAGTACTTCACAGGAAACTAAAACTATCACCGTAACAAGTAAAACTGCGGTACCTTCTTGCAAGGTGTTAAGACTTCCTAGCGAGTAACAGGGACACTGAGGGCAGGCCAGACTTAAATGCCCAAACACTCGGACTCCAAGAGGAGGGCAGTAGTGCCAGGGCTCTGTTCCAGGCTTCCGGGGAGAGACTTCAAAGGCCAGGCAGCTCTGCCACTACCCGGACGGTGACCCACAAGGAGAGAAGCGGGAAGACGCTCCTGCTGTGGAGAGGTCTGGCCGCAAACGTCTCAGGTGGGTCAGCACCCAGTTAATCTCAACGGAGCAACTGGGACCCACTGTCCTTTTCAATGGCTGCACAACACTGACCCTTGGGTCTTGGGTCTCGCTCATTACCTGCCATATTCTAAAAGCGTAGCGTGGATTCGAGATCCTTCGTCCAGCAGCTCCTCTGCTCCCTGCTGGCGCTTGTATTTCCGACGGGGTTTGTAAACGTCCTAAGAGAGTGAGGAAGAGAGGTGACTGAGTGTGAGAAGGTTCTCTGTCCTCTAGGACTGCTGGACACAGTTTCCGACAGGGTTTGTAAACGTCTTAAGAGAGTGAAGAAGATTGGGCTGGATTGATAGCACAGCGGGTAGGGCGTTTGCCTTGCACGCGGCCAACCCGGGTTCGATTCCCAGCATCCCATATGGTCCCCTGAGCACCGCCAGGAGTGATTCCTGAGTGCAGAGCCAGGAGTAAACCCTGTGCATCGCCAGGTGTGACCCGAGAAAAGCAAAAAAAAAAAAAAAAAAAAAAAAGAGAGAGAGAGAGAGTGAAGAAGAGAGGTGACTGAGTGTGAGAAGGTTCTCTGTCCTCTAGGACTGCTGGACACAGTTCTGGGTCAAGGCTTTTCCCATCAAGGTGCGGGAGTCAACGCCTCTGACTTTCAGAGACCGAGGAAAATATTTCCACCCTACCTATAGCTTGTCAAGTTTATTTAAACGAGGTATTTTGTTGTTGCTGTTCAATGACACTTAAATATTTGATACAGATTAAAGGTACTGAGGGGTGTATAGTTTAAATGTCAGTCTTTGGTTTTTGGATTACACCCAGCTGGGCTCAGCATTCATTCCTGGCTCTGAAAAAGTGTTAAGTTTTCCCTGAGAAAAATTTATAAAAATATAAAACGGATAAACCTTCACTGACTTGCTAAAACGTAATTTAGTTATAATCACAGAAGCAAATTTTGTCATAAACAGAGAACATGAACAAAGATACACACACACACACACACACACACACACACACACATCTCTAAAACAAATTCCATAGCAGGGATGAAGCAGGTGCTCAATAAATGTAGATCTATACACCAGATGACTTAGCCATTCTACTCAAATAAAAATCCTTCTTGACTGCCAACTTGGCAGTCAGGTATCTCCTCAGAGTTTAGGGTGTTAAGAAGACACTATTAGGGCCGGAGCAATAGTATAGCGGGTAGGGCATCTGCCTTGCATATGGCTGACCTGGGTTCGATCCCCTGCATTCCATATAGTACCCTCAGCACCGCCAGGAGTAACTCCGGAGTTCAGAGCCAGGAGTAACCCCTGAGTATTGCTGGGTGTGACCCAAAAGGCAAAAAAAAAAAGACACTATTAAGTTACCATTATTATTAAATTACTTATTATTAATAGCTGCAGGTCATAGCTAATAAGGTATTTTATGCTATACCTTTATGCTAATAAGGTATTTTAACTGTTTGACTCTAAATCAAGTCTTTCCTACTACCAGAGTTCAACACATCTCATTTTTTTTATTTATTTATTTTTATTAGTGGGACATCATGAAGTACAGTTGCAGTCTTACAAATTTTTGTGCTTGGGTTTCAATTATACAATGATCAAATACCCATCCATTTTTACCTGGACATCACAAGCATCAGTATTACTACCAGATATCTCCAGACAGAGACATACTTAATTCAATCAGAACTGTTCTCATTCTAAATAATGTGGATAAACTTTATCATTTACTCTTGTAACAAAAGATTTCAAACATATAAAAATAACCTCTCTGCAAAACATACTACCTAATCTCAACCACTCTGTGGAAAGATGCCACAGGGATGTTTTTATATGAAGTACTGCCCCCAAGTGTTCCCTAGTTGTCACTAGTGTCTCCATGAACAGAAGCTATAAATAACGACAGATTTAGAGGGAAATGAGAAACATAATGAACCCACATGACGTCAGCTGCTGCGTATGATTTGATTTCCACCGAGCACTACTATTAAAGCAGGACTATAAAATCGAACTTAACTGCTATCTTCTCAAGTTACCATTGATAGTGTCAAGAACCCAAGGCAGGAAATTGGATTCTTCTAAAAAAAGAACGAACTCCAAAACAGTAACACAGCGAAGACAACAGCTACAAGGACCTTTTATTCTGTCAGACACGACAGTGCTGGCCTTTGTGTAATTATTTCTCAGAGTTCAAAGCACCTCAGGTGTGATTTAACCTTTCTCATTTCCTGAGGAAGTGACCAGGCAGAAGCAAGGCAGATGCTACTATCTCCACTTTACTACAGAAACTGAAAAGAAATCATTTGTCTAGGATCATTAGGAATGCCCTGTCCTCAAGCACCACTCCCGGCAGAGCCTGGGGACCCTATGTGGTTCCGGGGATGCTACCCGGGTCTGGAGTGCGCAGGGCTAGCACCCCATCCTCTCGCAGGCATTTAGTCACTGCCCAGCCATTCCAGCACGGCCCTCTCTTCTGACTCACTACACAATCTGATGTTGCCCTGTATCACTGCGATGAAAAGTAGGTCATTAAACGTCAACTATAAAGAACCGAAGAACCTATTTACTCTCCTACTCTCTAAGTAAAGAACCTATTTACTCTCCTACTTTCTAAGTAGGAGAGTAAATAGGAATTGTGAACACTAAAACCTGTTTATGTCTCTGCTTTTCAATGTTACCCAGGCATATGATCGTGAGAAAGAATTTTTTCATCATTTCATTTCATCATCCTGTTATTCGTCGATTGCCTCGAGCAGGCCCCAGTAACGTCTCTTTCATCCTAGCCCTGAGGTTATATTCAAGGCTCTTTAGGAGAATAAGACCCATCATTGTTACTGGTATTTGGCATATTGGGTACGCCACGGGGAGTTTGCCAGACTCTGCCCTGTGGGCAGGCTACATTCGATAGCCTGCAAGTTTGTCCAAAGTAGGAATGACGAGTAGGAGGGCCGCTGCGGTGAGCCTTGAAGCCTAGGGCGCGGGCCCGGGTGGAGCCGCTGCAGGTGCAGATCTTGGTGGTAGTAGCAAATATTCAAACGAGAACTTTGAAGGCCGAAGTGGAGAAGGGTTCCATGTGAGAAAGAATGAGAGAAAGAATCCGGAGTTCTGACATCCGTCGACAGTCAAGAATCAGGGACGCTGTCTCATTTGCCAAGGTGTCGAAAATCAGATGGGCTGGTCACGTAATGAGATTTAAAGACGACCGCTGGACCAGAGCTGTTACCGACTGGATTCCACGGGATGTCAAAAGACCGCGTGGCCGCCCACCTACCAGATGGTCAGACTTCTTCGTCAAGATCATGAATGATCAGTTTGAGGCCCTTCATGTTCCCGGAGCGAACAGATGCCATTGGGCTACACTAGCACGTGACAGGGACAAATGGAGACGTTACTGGCGCCCGCTCGAGCAAATCGATGACTAACGGGAAGTTAAGTGATTAAGTGATTAAGTGATGATCGTGAGAGAAGCTGTTTCCCTCAATGGACTTACTTCCCTATCTGTAAGATGAGGGTTGGATCAACAGGTCTTGGAGGACACTCCTACTCTCTCAACCCATGTTCTTCTAATCCCTCAAAGAGGGGGCCAGGGAGGAAGCTCAATGGGCTGAGCTGAAGCTTTACGTGCAGGCGGCCTGAGCACTGTCATATACTCGTAGGAGTAACCTATAAGCACCGAACAACAAACCAAGCCCAAGCCCCCACCCCAAAGGGAAAAAAGCAAAACAACAACAAAAAAAAAATCTAATCTGGCAACTTAATTCCATCAATTAATCTGAAACTAGTCTAAAAACAAACATTTCGTGCTTAGACATGATGTACTCGTAAAAAGATATACAGGGGCTGGGGAGGCAGGACAACAGGTAGGATGCTGGACCTGTACATGGCTGACCTGGAACCACATAAGGTGGTTAAGCCCTTAACCACCTCAAGCCCTGTCAGGAATGGATGTTCAGGAGTAAATCCTGAGCACAGCCAGGCATGTTCCCCAAACAAAAATGCTACACAAAACAAACACTTTTTTCCTCGTTAGTCGGGACAGAAATAATTAATGACTAAGACTTAATGCTAGGCAGGTGCGAGGCATATTCTGCCTAACATACAGAACTGCCTGTCTGACCATCGCACCTTTGGAACTATCCTTGATCTCCTGAACAGAGGACGCTTTGTTTAAGCAAAGGTTTAAATACCTGGCCCACGGGTACAAATACAGTAAGAGCTGTGAGAGGACTCCTGAGTGATCTGTTCAGAGGGCTTAGAATCCTGCTGGATTTGGATCCTGGACCTCAGCAGGAACAATGCTCAAACATCAAGGTGATCCTCTTGTAGTCACAGATGCCTACACGGGTCTGGATACAAGCCAGGCTCATCTGTCAAAACAACTCCTCTGGCACATACCGTGGTGCCAGGGTGGGCAGCCGAAGGGTGCAGCCCTGCAGAGTTCTGTAGCAAGGCCCAGAGAGCTGGCCCCACAGGGTACCTCTCTGAGCAAACGGAGCAGGAAGAAAGAGCCACTGCCAATGTGTCACCCTAAACTCATTCCCACGGGGCAGACCACACCCAGTTCAGCAGGAAGTAGCCTCCACTGACTCTGAAAACTTGCTACAAGAACCATGTCCCGAGGTCCCCAAGAAAATGTCATAATTATGACAAGGACAAGGACATAATGAGGGGTGGCGACTGGTGATCATTTCTGTCGGGAACAACATGCCTCACAAATACGGCAGTGAGTTGGGGAGCGCAATTTTCCCGAGAGACAAGCCCAGATCTTGAACCTCCTCTACTTTCATTTACATGACTGCAGGGGGGCCAAGTCATCTACTCCAGGAGGGCTGCTACAAATCCCACCTAAGGCCTTCGTCATCTGTGCCGAACAGTGTTAATAAAAGGATGTCAACGTGCCATGCAGCTTTATCCCTTCTCGTCCCACTCTCCCTCTACCCCCAATTTATTTTTCTTTCATTCATTCATTCATCATCCTGTTATTCGTCGATTGCCTCGAGCAGGCCCCAGTAACGTCTTCTTCATCCTAGCCCTGAGATTATATTCAAGGCTCTTTAGGAGAATGAGACCCATCATTGTTACTGGTATTTGGCATATTTGGTACGCCACGGGGAGTTTGCCAGACTCTGCCGTGTGGGCAGGCTACATTCGATAGCCTGCAAGTTTGTCCAGAGTAGGAATGAGATAATAAGATGTCATAAAAAGATGTCCTG